GGGATGGCCCCGGGAGTGGCTGGGATGGCCCCGGGAGTGGCTGGGATGGCCCCGGGGTGGCTGGGATGGCCCCGGGGGTGGCTGGGATGGCCCGGGAATGGCTGGGATGGCCCGGGAATGGCTGGGATGGCCCTGGGAGTGGCTGGGATGGCCCCGGGAATGACTGGGGTGGCCCCGGGGGTGGCTGGGATGGCCTCGGGGTGGCTGGGATGGCCCTGGGGGTGGCTGGGATGGCCCGGGAGTGGCTGGGATGGCCCTGGGAATGACTGGGATGGCCTGGGAATGACTGGGATGGCCCTGGGAGTGGCTGGGATGGTCCCAGGGGTGGCTGGGATGGCCCTGGGAGTGGTTGGGATGGCCCTGGGAATGGCTGGGATGGCCCCGGGGGTGGCGGGGAGAGCAGTGGGAGGAAGGAAGCGCCGGGATCCAACCCCGGCCCGAGCCAAGTTTCGTTTCTTCTCCCGCCTTTGTCCCGGTTTCGGTTTCTGGAGGACCCTCAGGGCAGGGTGGGGGGCCCCAAACCCCCCCAGAGCCCCCGGTCCGGGCTGGGGGGGGCACAGTGCCCTGTGGTGGGTCCTGCTGCTCCTCAGCTCCGGGAATTCCAGTGGTTGGGAAGGGTTGGGAAGGTTTGTGGACAAACTCGTTGTGGGTTGGGCTGGAAGGGGCTGGACGGGGTTTGGGGCAACCGGGGCTTGGGGAAGGTGTCCCTGAGGTCCTTAGATGGGATTTAAGGGGTGGGTTGGGTCAGAAGGGACCTTAAATCCCACCCAGTCTCACCCCCTGCCATGGGCAGGGACACTTTCCACTGGCCCAGGTGGCTCCAACCTGGCCTTGGACACTCCCAGGGATCCAGAGGAAGCCACAGCTTCTCTGGGAAATTCATTCCAGGGCCTCCCCACCCTCATAGCCGGGAATTCCTGCCCAAAATCCCTCCTAATCCTGCCCTCTGGCAGCTTAAAAATCACCTGTTGGCCCAGGAATGAGCAGGGGGAGGGGACACTCGTGGGGTGGGACCCTCCAGCCTCCCCCACATCCCAGCACAGAGAGAAATGGGGGCCATGGGGTGGTGGGACCCCATTGCCTCAGGATAAGGGCAGGGTTTAACCCCCCTTCCCAGCCTGGATCTGACCCCTGGAGGTGTCTGAGCAAACCCCCTGAGCCTGGAAGGAGGCAGGGGGGGCTCAGCCCACAGGGATGTTCCACCTCTGCACCATCCACCCCCCGGGAGGGGCTGCTGCCCCCCCTGCCATCCCAATGCCACCCCCACAGCATCACCCGGGGGCCTCAGCCCACCCCACGGGGTGACCCCCCCTCCCTGTGCCCGGCATTCCCAGCCTGCCCTTCCCTGGGAGCAGAGCTCTTACCTGGGGGTGCCTCTGGCTGTGCCAGCTCCGGGGGTTGGCCCTGGGTTGGTGCTGTCCCTGCCCTCGGGGACAGCTCTTTATCTGCTGGGGGGGGTGAGGAGCCCCAAACCACAGCACTTCCCTGTTCAGGGCCCTGTCCCTGCCCCTGCTTTTGGGAAGTGGTGACATGGGCAGCTCCCTCCTGCCTGTCCCTGGTGGTGGGCGCTTTTGGGGTGGCCCCCAGGGCAGGTTCTGCAGCCCCCCAGGGGTCAGGGTCCTGCCGGGCCCTTGGGCTGCTCTGGCTGGGGCAGAGTTCCCTTTGTTCCCAGCACTGCTGTGGGGCTGTCTGGGATTTGGGTTGGATCAAGGCTGACGATCCAGGGACAGTTTTGGTGTCACTGAGCAGCGTCTGCTCCCAGCCAAGGTCTGTTCCTGCCCTGCCAGGGAGAGGCTGCCCCGGGAACGGGGGGGACACGGCTGGGACAGCCCAGCCCAGGGACACCCTGGAGCTTGTGGGTTTGTACCCAGGGAGAACCAGGAAAGGAGGAGGAAGGGGGGACGTTGGGGGTGACGTTGTTTGTCTTCCCAGGTCACTGGTACAGCCGGTGGATCCCGGCTGGCCTGGGAATGGCCAACACTGTCCCAAGGTGCTGCCAGGGCTGGAGCCCCTCTGCTCTGGAGCCAGGCTGGGAGAGCTGGGGGGGTTCCCCTGGAGAAGAGAAGGCTCCAGGGAGAGCTGAGAGCCCCTGGCAGGGCCTGAAGGGGCTCCAGGAGAGCTGGAGAGGGACTGGGGACAAGGGAGGGAGGGACAGCACAGAGGGAATGGCTTCCCAGTGCCAGAGCATTGGACAGGATACTGGGAAGGAATTCCTGGCTGGGAGGGTGGGGAGGCCCTGGCACAGGTTGGGCAGAGAAACTGTGGCTGCCCCTGGATCCCTGGGAGTGTCCAAGGCCAGGTTGGACGGGGCTTGGAGCAACCTGGGCTGGTGGGAGGTGTCCCTAAAGCAAGGAGAGGACTCTGCCAACCCTCCTGAAGGAATTCCCAGCTGGCACCAAGGCTGTGCCAGAGGCTGCATCCAGCAGCTTCCCAGCCCTCCTGGGGCAGGATCCAGATCCAGATCCAACCTCCCCCACAGCAAAGAGAGCCAGGGTGGTGGCACAGGGAACGCTGGGTGCAGCTGGCACATGGGGACAGCTCAGGGTCAGTGCTCGACCTTGTGCCCCGGGAGTGTGGGAACGTGCCCTCGGGGACCTCGGCCCCTCCCTGGCCGTGCCAGGCTAGTGCTGAGTCAGCAGGGCAGCTCCACAGCCCCCTGTCCCCACCCTGTGTGCCCTGTCATCAGTCTGTGTGTGCCCTGTCCCCAATCTGGGTGATCCCTGTCCCCAATCTGGGTGATCCCTGTCCCCAAATCTGTGTGTGCCCTGTCCCCAGTCTGTGTGTGCCCTGTCCCCACACTGTGTGTGCCCTGTCATCAGTCTGGGTGTACCCTGTCCCCATACTCTGTGTGTGCCCTGTCCCCAATCTATGTGTGCCCTGTCCCCACACTGTGTGTGCCCTGTCCCCATACTCTGTGTGATCCCTGTCCCCAATTTCTGTGTGTGCCCTGTCCCCACACTGTGTGTGCCCTGTCCCCATGCTGTGTGTACCCTGTCCCCACTCTGTGTGTGCCCTGTCCCCACACTCTGTGATCCCTGTCCCCATGCTGTGTGTACCCTGTCCCCATCCTGTGTGTGCCCTGTCCCCACACTCTGTGATCCCTGTCCCCAATGTCTGTCTGCCCTGTCCCCACACTGTGTGTGGGCAGTGGCAGTGCCCAGGGCTCAGCCCCGTCCAATTCCTCTTTCCATTCCCGGGGCACATCCCCAGGCTTGGGGAGCAGCTGCAAAGGGGAACGTGCCTGGGAAGCCAAAATGAACGAAAAAATCAGGGAAATCAGGGAAAGTGAGCAAAGGGACAATCAAATCCAAGGGCTGCTCCCAGAGAGGGATGGGTGTTGTCCTACAGCCTGGGGATCAGCCTCTTCCTGGGAATGAGCATCCTCCTGGGAATGAAGACTGTCCTGGGAACCTGTGTCCTCCTGGGGACCAGCATCCTCCTGGGAATGAAGACCCTTCTGGGAATCTGTGTCCTCCTGGAGACCAGCATCCTCCTGGGAATGAGCATCTTCCTGGGAATGAGCATCCTCCTGGGAATGAAGACCCTCCTGGGAACCTGTGTCCTCCTGGGGACCAGCATCCACTTGGGAATGAGCATCTTCCTGGGGACCAACATCCTCCTGGGAATGAGCATCCTCCTGGAGACCAACATCTTCCTGGGAATGAGCATCTTCCCAGGAACCTGCATCCTCCTGGGGACAGGTATCCCCCTGGGAATGAGCATCCACCTGGGAACCAGCCTCCTCAGTGGGACCAGCGCCCTCCCGGGGTCAGAGCTCCCCCCTTGCTCCGGGGGTTCCCCCCGTGTCTCCGAGCACCCCCCCCGTGTCCAGCCCTCATTCCCAGGGCGGGTGGAGCCCAGTCCAAGGGGAGCAGCAGGAGCAGCTCATTCCGTGCCCAGGAGGAATGTGGGCTGGGCACGGGAGAGATAACCAGGAATTCGAGGTGGGGGCTGTCTGGAAGAGGGAAAAACAGTGATGGGAAGAGTGGGAATAAATCAGCCGTCCTGTCGTGGCTGGGGGCTGTGCCAGGGACACCCCCTCCCAAGCCCAAATCCAAACCCTCAGCGGGAACGGGCAGCAAAATTCCCACTGCAAAACCGTCCCGTGAAAGTGGAGGGAGCAGGAGGAGGAGGGGGAGGCAGCGCTGTGGGACGGGGTTGATCCTCCCGCGGCCCCACAGCCCCCCCCGGCCCTTCTGGGGTGAAAGGTTGAAGGAAAAGGGCAAATAAAGCAAACAGCGGGGACACGGGGGGGACACCGCGCCCGGGGGCACCGGCCCAGCGCCGCCACCTGAGTCAACACGCGCTGGTTTTCTTTGGCGGGGACGCTGGGAAAGGCTGGGAAGGGTTGGGAAGGGTTGGGAAGGGCTGTCCCGACAGGGGGGGAGTCCGTGGAGTCCAAAGCGGGGGCGCTCCTGGGATTCCCGGCTGCTGGGATGCTCCGGGGGCAGAGGGACACCCCCGGGACTCCCCTCGGAGTCAGAGAGATGTTGGGGACCCCCTGTACCCCCCCCAACTCTGCGACCCCCCCCCGGCAGAGAGCACAGATCGCAGAGTCCAACCTGATCCCTCCGGCTGGAATGTGCGGGGGTGCCGGGGGGGGTGGCAGGGATTTAATCCTCCCCCGGCCCCGCGGAGCCGAGTGGGGCTCCCCCAGCGCCGTGTCCCCCCCCGCTGTCCCCTCCCAGCCCGGGGAACGCGGCCCGGCCCCAGGCCTGGCCCCGGGGCAGCGCCGGGGAAATGTCGGCTATGGCCAGGGGGGTGAGGGCCCCGCTGGGCCTGGGGGGTCCTCCGGTTCCCCCCGGCTCCCCCCATCTCCCCCCGGCTCCCCCCGGCTCCCTCCAACTCCTCCTGTTCCCCCAGACTCCTTCTGCTCCCTCCTGCTCCCCCACAGCTCCTCCTGCTCCCCCATCTCCCCCCATCTCCTCCTGCTCCCCCATCTCCCTCCAGCTCCTCCTGCTCCTCCATCTCCCCCTGACTCCTCCTGTTCACCCATCTCCCCCCAACTCCTCCTGCTTCCCCCATCTCCCCCTGACTCCCCTGCAGCTGACAGGCAGAGCATCCCCCCCTGCTCAGCCCCCACCAAATCCGGGGTGCAGCCCCTGGGGGTGTTTGGGTCACCCCAAGTCCAGGGGTGCCCGAGCCCCCAGCTCCTCCTGAGCGCCCTGGGGGTGTTAGAGCCCCCAGAAATCCAGGGGTGCCCGAGCCCCCTCAAATCTGGGGAAGCACAAGTCCGACCCAACGCCCTGGGGGTGTTTGGAACCCTCCAAATCTGGGGTGGCACGAGCCCTCAGCTCCTCCCGAGCACCCTGGGGATGTTTGGACCCCCCAAATCTGGGGTGGCACGAGCTCCCAGCTCCTGCCCAGCACTCTGGGGGTGTTTAATCCCCCTCAAATCCAAGGGGGTGTGAGCCCCCAGCCCCTCCTGAATGCCCTGGGAGCGTTTGAGATCCTTCAAATCTGGGGTACACGAGTCCCAGCTCCTCCTGAGCACCCTGGGGGTGTTTAGACCCCCTTAATTTCGGGGGTGCCTCAGCCCCCAGCTCTGTCCCAGCGCCTGGGGGGGGTTGGTGCCACCGGTGCCCAAAGCTGTGCCCTCAGGAGCTTCAGGTTGAGCTGGTGCTCGACTCCAAGGAAACATTTTAGGTTGGGTGAACACGTCCCGGGGAGCTGGCTCCGCTCCCGCGTGCGGCAGCAGGGTGAGCTTTCAAGTGAAAAATCGGTTCCTAATGCACGAACCTGACTTTTACATTTGGGGAGCGCGGGGCTGCGGAGGATCCGAGTCACCGATCCCGGACGCCTCATTAGCTCGGGAACGAGCCGGGCTCGAGCGGCCCCGGGGGAGGGACGGGCTCTGAATTATTGCTGCGACACGGCCGGCGACACGGGCCGAGGTAATGGGAGATGACACGGCCCCGATCCTGCTCCTCCCGCAGCTCTGCCCGGCCCCGGAGCGCCGCGGGGAGGGGAGGGACATCCCGGGCACTGCAGGGACCTGGGACACCCAGGGAGGGGCATCCCGGGCACTGCAGGGACCTGGGACACCCAGGGAGGGACATCCCGGGCACTTGCAGGGACCTGGGATGTCCTGGACACTGCAGGGACTGGGACACCCAGGGAGGGGCATCCTGGACACTGCAGGGACCTGGGACATCCAGGGAGGGGCATCCTGGGCACTGCTGGGACCTGTGGCATCACTCCCAACCCAGTGGGTCCAGACAAGACCGGACACTAAACCCAGCTCAGCCTAAACCTGCTTTTCCCACGCAGAGCCCACGTGGTGCCCTGTCCCCGAGGGGACCCCAATCCCTCCAGCCCTGTCCTGGCTCAGGATGATCCTTCATCCCCCACCCGGAGCCACGACAGCCCCATCCTGGCCTGGGCTGATGTTCCCCCCTCCCAGAGCTGGCAGCAGGACGGGCTGTCCCTGGTTTGGGCTGGTGCTCCATCCTGGAGCATCCTGTGTCCTGCCACACCTGGAGCCAGGACAGCCCTGTCCTTCCTCCGGGTGATGCTCCATCCTCCTGGACCTGAAGTCATGACATTCCCATCCTTCCTCGGGGTAATGATCATCATCCCAGACCTGGAGGAACCACTGCCCCATCCTGGTTTGGCATGAAGCTCCATCCTTCCCCCCTGGAGCCATAATATTCCCATCCTTCCTGAGGGTGATACTCCACCATCCCAGAGCCACAGCATTC